TGGATTATATAAAAATATTTTCTACGTTAACTTGAATTAATAAATAATAGTGTCAAATAATTTTAAAATTCTATAAGTTTAATTTATATATTAAAAAAATTATAATTTAATAATTAAATTATTAAAATTTAATATAAAATAATATTTATTAAGTAAGATAAATATAAATAAACTTATTTTTTTAATAAGTGAATTCATACTTTATATATATATATACACACGATCGTGTCATTCTTGAAAGGCCTCACTAATAATAAAACAGAGCAGGCCCCTACTAGAATTCAGATAATGGAGCCGGTGGTTAAGAATATGACTGGTTTCTCAATAATTAGCTGGGATCGGACCCATAACAAGGCGGTGGGTAGCTGCTTTAACGTCGTTTATCAAGAACAATCTCCGTGAAGTCGCCGTCAATCATTGCCCCTTTACACGTGATTTCACGTTTGAATTTGGGGCCTCTCGACAACAACGGCGTATTTTGCACCACTAGAAAAAGCGCGGTAATAGTGAAGTATCAGATTAGGGCCCATTAAGTTTCAGCCATTGGATGTTTCCCTTATCAATCATTGGACAGGGTCAATGTGTTTTAGGATAAGCGATCGGGCGGTGAGAAATACGAGCTTATTTGTTTAATTGTTCTACAAAAACAACTTCAGGAAAGTGCAACCAAATTTACATCCATAGTTTTAAAAATCGGACCAGTCATCGAATCAGTTAAGATACTGGGTCAGTAGGTTAAAAGTTGAACCAATGAGTTACTAGTTGAACCGTATGACTTGATTTTTATTTATTTTTATTAAAAAAAATTATATTAAATATATTTAATACTTATAAATTTTAATAAATTCATATCTTATTTTAAATTTTAATTTTTCTATCTTATTTAAAAATATTAAATATATTTTATACTTATAAATTTTAATAAATTCATATCTTATTTTAAATTTCAATTTTTCTATCTTATTTAAAATTATTTTTATTTTTATTTTGTAAAAAAATACATAAAAAAATTACATGTTAAACGGTATATTAATACAAATTAAAAATATAAATAATATGTACATATATAATATGCTTGCAATTAATATCACAAAATAATATATGTAATATTTACATAGATATTATATTATTAAATATATAATTTAAAATTAATAATATACTATAAAAGTTATTTAAGTTGTATATATTGCAAACAAATATATTAGAACAAGTAGTCATTGTTATATTTAATAAGACTCCTTGCTTTTTATTAAGAGATTCAATTTTTATTATTATTTTTGTAGTTTATGGTCCCTTAAAAAAATTAATAAAAAAAAAAGAAAAAAAAGTGGTTGAACCGGTTTGACCTACCGGTTCACCGGTTGAACTGGAAAATTGACCGGTTTAATCCGATTTAAAACGGGTCGACTGCATAACCGGTCCAACTTAAGATTCAGACCGGCTGGACCACCGGTTCCCGGTCCAACCGATCCGACTGGCCGGTTCGGTCCGGGTTTTAAATCACTGTTTACATCACTTTAATACATTAAATCAACTAAAAAATAATTTAAAATTTGATTTGATAATTAACTTATTAAATTTAATTTGTGAAGTAAATGAGTTAAATTTTAGTTAAAAATTGATATACATTGAAAATAAAGAGATTCATGTAAAAGGGAAAAAATCAATAGAGAAGTATTTAGTGATGTGACAAAGAAAAAAAAGTACTCGACGAAGGATAGGAAAGAAAGTTTTCACAAACCTCACCTAACCAAATTACTATTAGAAATCCTTATGAGCCCAAGCCAATTTATAAACACTTGAGTTGTTTCTATTTCAAAATCATTCTCCATTCAAAATTCAATCTTGTATTCATATTCAAAAGTTTCACCTTAGCAGTAGTAAGAAAAAGGCATACAGGCAAGAGTAGTAGAGAGCAGCTATGCTACTCTCATGAAGATACCTCAACAACAAGTACACATGCAAGAGACAGAAATATCATATATATATATATATATAT